GCTCCCCTGATTTCCAGACAATAAGAACTAAGGTTCAAACTAGGGTGGTAGTGTAGACATACCCTGAGAGATTTTGCTGGGAGCGGGGAGAGCCTGCTGGAGCCTCACCCTCCTTCCCTGCACCTCAGATAGCAACAGGAAGCAGCAGGAAGCAGCTTTGAGCAGCATTGTTTCCTGATGCAGGGGTGTGTGTGGGCCAGATCAAAAGGCTTGATGGACCAAATATGGCCCACAGGCCATATCTTGCCCACCCTGTCCTACTGCATTATTCTCCCAATTTGATTTTGGTTGTTGCTATTTATATTTTATGTTTAAACAATATTCTTTTCAGTAAGCTTTGGGTGCAGTAAAAGAAACTTGTCAGTGCCCTAGAATTTCGACTTAATAATGTCACAATGTATGTCAGTTATGTGGGTGTGGACTTAGGTGTGTCTGTTTTGAATTGTAAATGGGAAGGCCCAGCAAGCTTTATAATAATTTTAGCTTGGCAGACAAGATGATGTGATATTATAAAAAGGCTCTGAGTCTGTTTACTCTTCACACATTAAACACATATCTTGACAATGAAATGAAACATAATACTTAAACGCCTGTCCTAAAATATGGCATTAAGTTACTTATGAGTGAAGAGTCCAGATTGGCCAGTGTTTCTGGAAGAGTAAGTGACTGGTACAATAAAACACATGACACCAAATTCTTCCTTCTGGTACACATACTTGTTCAATTCACTTGGACTTTAAAGAGAGTTGCATGTGCATGTCTGAGAAAAATTGTCTTTCAGTAAAGAGAAAATTTGACTTCTAGTAAAGAGAAACTTGCAGCACAATCATATGAGATTAGAAGTCTGAGAAAACAGCAATAAACTTCATTAACAACCAGTTGAAACACCAAAATGACCTCATTTCAATCATGTCTGATTCTGCTTTAATTAAACACAACTAAAGAAGGGTTGTTAATTGTCCCAGGGGCAAAGAAGCTCTGAACATTGTTACATACACCATGTCTTTGGTATTAGTTGAGACAATCATAAGTTTAGTTTTTAATAAAGACTTCCTTACTAATCTAATTTCAAAACTAGTGGGTATAGTTACAATTGTATTAAAGAAATTAAAATATTTTCCTGTTAAAGTGGCTAAAATAGGTTGAATAGAGAGGGATTTTTTACTTGTATTTGTAGAAACTCCTTGGCTACGTCTAGACTGGCATGATTTTCTGCAATTGCTTTTAATGGAAAAGGTTTCCGTTAAAAGCATTTGCGGAAAAAAGTGTGTAGATTGGCACGGACGCTTTTCCGCAAAAGCACTTTTTGCAGAAAAGTGTCCGTGCCAATCTAGACGTGCTTTTGCGCAAAAAAGTCCCGATCGCCATTTTAGCCATCGGGGCTTTTTTGCGCAAAACAGTACTGTGCTGTCTAAACTGGCCCTCTTGCGCAAATGATTTGCGCAAGAGGGCTTTTGCCCAAACGGGAGCAGCATAGTATTTCCGCAAGAAGCACTGATTTCTTACAGTAAGAAGTCAGTGTTCTTGCGGAAATTCAAGCAGCCAGTGTAGACAGCTGGTAAGTTTTTCCGCAAAAGCAGCTGATTTTGCGGAAAAACTTGCCAGTCTAGACACAGCCCTTTAGTTCATTTAAAAAAAAAACTAGTAATTGAGATGAATAATTGATCATAGAACACCAAAACTGGAAGGGTCCTCGAGAAATCATCAAGTCCAGCCCCCTGTCCTCATGGCAGGACCATGCACAGTCTATATCATCCCCCCCCTGTCCTCATGGCAGGACCATGCATAGTCTATATCATCCTTGACAGAGCATGTTAGGCAGACATCTTAAATATCTCCAGTGATGGAGATTCTACAACCTCCCTAGGCAATTTATTCCAGTGTTTAACCACCCTTACAGTTAGGAAGTTTTTCTTAATGTCCAATCTAAACCTCCCTTGCTGCAGTTTAAGCCCATTGCTTCTTGTCCTATCATCACAAGGAGAACAATCCCCCGCCTTCTCCCTCCCTCAGTAAATCCCACTTATTATAAAATGAGGAAAACAGGGATGCCGAAAGAACACGCCTGCTTTTTCAGAAACTGTTCCGAAAAAGGAGACACATTCCCTGGTATCCCAGAAAAACTCTGCAATCTAGACATAGCCAAATAAAGCTATCAGATTAATTGGGCATTATTTGTTCTTTAGAAATCCATGCTGGCTGTTACCTATCACCTTATTTTCTTCCGGATCTTTTCAGATAAATTCCTTAATCTAACTGCTTCATTATCATTCCTGGCCCAGAAGATAAACTAACTGATCTGTAATTTCCTGGGTTGTTCTTATTTTCCTTTTTATAGATGGGCACTATATATTTGCCCTTTTCCAGTCTTCTGGAATCTTTCCAGTTTTCCATGATTTTTCAAAGATAATAACTAGAGGCTCAGATGCATCCTAGTATGCTGAAGGAGCTGATAGAGGAGGTATTTCATCAGGCCCTGGTGACTTGAAGATATCTAACTTTTCTGAGGAATTTTTAACTTGTTCTTTTTTTATTTTCACTTCTAAATCTACACCATTTCCACTAGTATTCACTATTTTAGGCATCCCTTCATCATCAAACTTATTGGTGAAGACCGAAACTTTGATATGACTTTGTTGAATCTTACAGCTCTGAATAGAAGACTTACTCCTTTAAGTCATACCTAGGGAATAATACACCTTTTGTAATAGTCCATTTTACCATTAGATGTCACTGTTGTTCCACAGAAATACGATAACAAGGGTGTTTCCCTGGATTTGTCTCTTAAAAAGAGTTTAGAAACAAGTTTCAAATGTTTGCTTCAGCTCTGATTACTAATTGATCATGTTCTGTACAATGTACATGAAACAGATCATTAAGCAACATTAGCAGTTCATACTAAAAACTGTTGGATCAAATTGCTGATTTTTGGGTAATGCGTTAGCTACTCTGTTACTCATCCAAATGGCTCTGTTATAAGATATAATCAATTCCATCTAGTATTTGAAAGTCTATTTTTAGCCACTGATTCTGATCTCTTTTGTAGCCATATAAATCAGGAATAATTCTGTAAAGTGAATGGAGTAACACTACTATAAAACAAATGTGAGATCAGTTGCCCCTTTTTGAGCCATACTTAGTTCTTTCAAAGGTCTTGTCTTCAGTACAGAGTTAACTCAAATTGTAAGTTGAGCATTGGTCCTAACTTATGTGCTGCTGACACACAAAATACCTTAACTTAGATGTGGTAGTGATTTATAACTCAGGTTGGTTGGCTCATTAGGGAATGTATAGACTACAACTTGTCATCTGGTGTACAGTCACTTGGTAGAGCTAAGGTACAGCCTCTCCCCGAGTTACGAATGAGTTACGGACCAAACACTTGGCCGTAACTCGATCTGTTCGTAACTCGGACCCCATTGAGTTACATAGCAACCGCGCTGTTCGTAAGCGCGAGTCTCATTCATAACTTGGGGATCACCTTTATGACCGCTGTATGGGAGCTTTGATCATAAATGCGAATGGTCGTAATTCGACCGTTCGCAACTTGGAGACTGGCTGTAATTGCTATGCAGTTATTCAGTTTCTGTGGGCAGCCATGGGTTATTTTGTAGCATGAGTGCTGACGTGACCTAGGTCAACTCCAATGTAGTTTACACTGCAATGAAGACCTAGTCATGTCTATAGTAAGGCTGTTAACTAGCAGTTAATTGACTAGTCGAGAAGTCAATGGAATTTCCATCGACTAGTCAATAGGCACTTCCACATTCCTCCTTTGAAATGTACAAGAGCCCCAGTAGGGGTTCTTGTACATTTCAAAGGAGGAATGAGGAACTCCACGTGCAGCCCGGGGCCAGCAGGAACTCCCGCTGACTCCAGGCTGCATGCAGGTGCCAACTTTGAAATGCACAAGAGCCCCCAGCGAGGGATCTTGTGCATTTCAAAGCAGCAGTGCAGCATGGAGCCCAGGGTCAGCGGAGGACTCTGAGTCCCCTGCTGACCCCGGGCTCCATGCAGCGCTGCTGATTTGAAATGCCACACGGAGCTTGGG